TCTATTGTATGACTTCGTTTTCCTCGTAAAGTTTGATTATTACATTAGTATGATAGATGTACCCGAGAATATTTTATTTAGCTTCGTGCTACATATATTTTATTATCTACCGTTAATTTGTCACGATAGAATATAGAACAAGATAATTTGCGCAGCTATTTGATTATTGACACAGATAATTGATATTTCATAAATGGCGGCATATTAAACAAAATAAGGAAAAGTGTTAATGTTGATATTTATTAGTACACTTATATTATACAATGTAATGATAGAAGTATAACTATGAAATGAACTTGAGTTATTTTGTCATATTGTATATTTTAATATTTTACGAGTCCGAATGTTTATGATTACATTTTGGTTTTAGGACTCCATTGATGTAGTTATATACAGAGTATTACTTGTGAACTGTGCCTACTCCTTACCAGTAAAACTCACTCCACAAGTGGTAAGAGTCAATCTATTTTAATTATGTAATGTTGTAAACAGAACGTTATGGATTATTTCCCTTTAAATATGCGGTTTTAAGCATATTTAAGATATTGGCTTAATTAGTCTTTATAAAAATAGTATTTGCAACTTAATGATTGTTGTAATGTAATAGTATGTAAAGAACAAATAATATATTATGTTCCGATTAGTTTATTGTTATATGTGCAGTTTTAACTTTAGTTTTGTACCGTACACATAGTTTACCAGTAAACATTATATAGTACACTATTTATGATCAAGGGTTACATTCTTGTGTAGTATATCACAATGAGAAATAAAAGTACACGTGACATCAATTTACTGAATGTATTTATTATTGAATTAGTAGTATAGTACACAGTAATTAAGAGCATTGTATTTTACTATTACAATATCTGATAATGTGTAATTTAAGATACTTGTGTTTTATAAAATAGAACTGTTATTTATAATTGTGATATTGTTATTTTCAGAGTTTATTTTCTATTACTGGTATTAAATCATCCGAACCCTATAGAACAGAGTTTGTTATTTACTTAATCCAAGATACGACCCTGTTACAAGATAACCAACCATCAAGGCTTCCTCTTAAACCAGCCAACTCACTGAAACTAAACATAACAGCCAATTACAGTTATATTCACAATAGGTACTATTTTGGGTCAACAGAGAATTCAAAATAGCCACCAAACGCAATGAAAATTAGAATGAGAACTCAATAGGATATTGACTTGGATTATTTTCAACTAGTTTTAATACAAATGGTCCCAGTTTTCAAGAACAAATAAAATGGAATCAAATAATCCAGGAATATTCAGTCTGTCCAACACTTTTGAAAATTTGTTTTCTGTGCTTTTAATCACAATATGTTATGTTCAAGCAGAGACATACTACATGAAAAAGTAGTTAGCTGGATGTTTTGAGGGATTGAATTCTGTTCTTGGAACAAAAACATAAAAAAAGAATGACACGAAATATAGTAAAGTGGGGAATCCAGTTTTTCAAACTATCATAAAGTACATACAGTTTGATTTTGAGTTTTTGACTTATTGTTTTAAGTGTTAATAGTGCTCCTTATGCCGCAGTCACACTAGGCCACGATCGCACTACGATCTCTGAAAAATGCAAATTTTGACGATCGTAGTGCGATCGTGAAGATCGCTGTAAGGTCGTGGTGAGGTCTTCATGATCGTGATGAGCGTGGCCAACTTTGAACATGTTCAAAACAATCGTGGTGCGGTCGTGCCGAAATCAGGTCGTAGTAGAAGCGTAGCGAGAGCGCAGTAAGTTCGTGGTAAGATCGCAAAGGTCGCTGTACCATCGTAGCGAGAGCGAAGCGTAAGCGCGAATCTAGTCCGAGAGATTGCGCTACGATCTCACAGCGACGTTATTACGACCTCACTACGACCATCACGTTCTCCCCGCGACCAAACAACGCTTCTACTACGACTATACCACGTTTATACTACGCTGATCAAAACCATAATACCATTGGCTGATCCAGACGTGGGTTCCGGGGGTTGGAATCCCCCTTTTTTTGGACGATCAATGCATTTGAATAGGGACATATGGTTGGAACCCCCCCCCTTTAAAATGGCTGGATCCGCCCCTGAGTACGATTCTAACACGCTCATCAGAGCCGGATTTAGAGGGTTTACCAGGGGGCCCGGCCCCCCTTTTGTGGGAAAAATTTGGTTTCCTGTTATATAGGCAATCACTGAAGCATGACTGGAGCGGGCCCCCTCTTAGGCAGTCAGTGGGCCCTCCTTATGAACATTTCTGGGTCCGCCACTGCTCATGCCGTCCTCATCACGACCGTCTAACGACCCGACTATGTTCATACTTCGACCATGATTTCGAGTTATAGCCATGCTCATTGTCATTGTCACATAAAATATATAAAAGCTCTCCATGTTTTGTTTGTCTGTATGTAATTTGGACCTCATGACCCTAATATCCAACAGCTCAACCATGCTTTACACATCTGTATCATTTCCCGTGGGTATCATTCCCACTTTTGTTCAATAAAATATCGTCAGTTGATCTGGATAGATCATCAATACGTTGTGATTCAGGTTGGATTGCTTGATCTGACATCTGTACTGGATCAGGATTCGTACCAGAGGCCCCTCTGACTACATTTCCCCCCACCACCACGCCCACGAGTTCTGGTAGATATGGATCATGATGTTGACGTTATTGCTGAGGGCGTAGTTAGATCGCGCCGATATGAACGTGGTAAGATCGTAGAATGATCGTGGTAAGAGCGTGCTATAATCGCAGAAGAAGCGTGGTAATATCGTGTTGCAATCGGATAAATCGTGATATGGTCGTTATGAGAACGTGATAAGCGTAGTAAGATCGAAATAATCGTAGTGAGTTCGTAGAATAAGCGTGGTGAGAACGTGGTATAATCGTAGCAAGATCGTTGTAGAAGCGTAACGAGGACGTAGTAGCATCGCGAAAACAACGAAAATCTACATTTCAAGCCGCTCTTATCGCGACCTCACCACGATCTGAATTTATTTTAGATCGCGGTGAGCGTGATGCGATCGTGGTCTAATGTGATTTCGGCATGGCATGCATCTGCCTGCTGAGATTACACAATTGAATTCCACGCTAAGAAAACCTACAAATAATTCTACTGCTTATTTCCTCAAATTGAAAAAAAAACACCTAAACACAATGAAACCCATGAAATCATCGGCAGATCCAGGGAGTATTCCTGAAGTCGGAATCCCCTTTCAAAATGACTGGATCCTCGCCTGGATTAAAATATCACAGGTTGTGGTCAAAGGGTGGATCTATCCTGTTTATTAAATAAATGAAAGGATAATAGATAGTACAGTCTGTTTTTTGTTAGATGTATTTCTATTTGATTCCATCTGATTTTTATGGTTTGTTCTTATATTGGAATATTCTACCAAAGCCCTGCTAACATGTTTAACCCCTCATTCTGTATGAGCCTGTCCCAAGTCAGGAGCCTGTAATTCAGTGGTTTTCTTTGGTTGCTGTGTTACATATTTGTTTTTCGTTCATTATTTTGTACATAAATTAGACCGTTAGTTTTCTCGTTTTGCATTTGTCATTTCGGGGCCTTTTATAGCTGACTATATATGTATTTACGGCTTTGCTCCTTGTTGAATGCCGTACGGTGACCTATAGTTCTTAATTTCTGTGTCATTTTGTCTCTTGTGGAGAGTTGTCTCATTGGCAATCATTCCACATCTTCTTTTTGTCAAGACTGCGACTTTTGTCGCAAAAGCGAGACATAGCGATCCTACATTGCGGCGTCCACAAATATTCACTCTGTGGTTACAGTTTTTAAAATTTTAATAACTTTCTAAAACTGTCATCGATTTTTACCAAACTTCGAAGGAAGCTTGTTTATGATCATAAGATAGTATCCAGAAGTAATTAAATTTTGTAAAAAAAATCCTGTTTATCCGTATTTACTTATTAATGGACTTAATTTTTCTGCCAGTTAACATTACATTCACTGTGTGTTAAAAGTTTTTAAAACTTGGATAGAAGCTTGTTTATAATCAAAAGCTAGTATCAAGAAGGAAATTTTATAAAAATTTATTTTCTGTTTTTCCGTATAATACTTATGTATACATGGACTTAGTTTTCTTCCAGTTAACTTTACATACAGTCTGCAGTTAAAGTTTTTAAAACATTTATTAGATTCAAACCATCCTGGATTTTAACCACACTTCAGTTGGACAGAATAAAAAGATAGTACCTAGAGGAAAAAAATCAATAATTTTCCCCATTTTTGTTGAGCCTGCTACTATAACACTATTACAACAAAAGTAGGCGAGACACTGGGTTCCGCGGAACCCTTAATGATTTTTTTCTATAAACTCTTTAATATATTTTAATGATATAAGTCACAATAATGTTTTTTTATGTACATATTATATGATTTCACATTGACAAATACAGAGTGGTCCTAAAAATAAAGAAAACTGGAATAAAATATTCTGTTGTCTAAGGTGCTGTCATAAGCACATACTATAACAAGCCGCTTTTGTTGTAAATAGATAAATAGTGCATCCTTTTATTAATAGAAGAAAAGTCAATAAAAGATGAACACGAAAAAAAATAAATAATCATCACTGACTCAAGAGTAACAGAAGTTAAGAACTATCGAACAGTTGAAATACAACGACCTGGTGACACGTTCAAAGGAGCATTGCAGTTAGAATGCAAATTACCTGTCATCAATTCGTTAATATTGTAGATCTACAAAAATATGTGCACAACAGAAACATATAAATTTAAGGTCTTTTTTTTTTAAATGTTGTCATTTTATAATCATATATGCCTATTATGATCCCTATTTAAACATGTGCATGGCTGTAATTAATACGCGTTAGTTAGTAAACAAAACTGTATTGACCTTTTAATTTTAGAATAATAGAGTTCAAATATATCAATATTCATGTTATAACTTATTGTCATTTTGACGTAAATGTTTTTAAACCAATGGCAAGATACGATTTATTTTTCAATAACCTCTGATATTTACTCAATTGATATGGTAAAGTTCCAACAGGTTCGAATAAGATCTTCCCAGCATATTATCATTGGTTTCCCTCCCCCTTACTTATATTCCCCTGCAAACAGGTACGGTATATTTTACTGTTTTACTATCATATGTTACCTTCACGTCCTTGGGCCGTAAAATTACGTATTTTTTTTTATAACTACAATGGTTCTCCGTATCAAATTAACCAAATAGGGTGAACGCCCCACTGATGTTTCTAATTTACACTAAGTTTTAGCTTTCTAAACACTTTGGAGTGCATCACTATAATAATTTTAAGTAAGATGTGGTTTATGTGGTCGCTTAGTATGGGAAAGTCGTTATTTGTCCCTTTTGTGCATAACTTAGATGTACTGTATTGTGGTATACTGTACAATGTTGTTTGTCCATGAATAATTCCTACAAAAACTCAAATTTGCCTTAACCAATTCCATACCTGCCAACTTTTGAAAATCAACACAATGGTTACATTTTTTGTGGTGTTTTTTTTGTGTGTGCTGTTTTTTTACTCTAGAAAAAGTGTTATATCTGTTTTTTTATGGAATACTGATGATAAGCTAATAAACCATTTCTTCTTTTATTTGCAAAATTCTTGTACTTAATAAAGAGAACATCTGTATAATCAGAGACATATAATACGTTATATGTCTCTGGTATAATTTATATTTTTTTAATATGTATCCTTTTCTTTTGTTCTTGAACATTAATAATGCGTTAACTTTCAATACTGTTCTAGATCCCAACCCTCCCCCTAACCTGGGACAGTGGTGTAACAGTACACCATAAGAACGAACTATAAAAATCAGTTGAAAGAGGCTTAACTCATCAGATAGATAAAAATACAAAAACTACAAATACAAGTGGACGTGGCCGGGTACTTGTACATCCAAACAACAAAAAGACACTAAGTACAGATCTGAGAGTACTCGCAGTTACTGACAGCTAGTTCAAAGCCACTAACAACTAATAAAAAAAAATCATGCATCTAAGACTAAATTATCAATCTGTAGTATTCTGTACACATCCAACATCCAATGGATTTAGTGTAAAGACGTCATAAACTGTCAGAGTAAAACATGACCTTGTGCAATGCCAAGATACAGGTATCGACAGACTAAATGTAGATCCATGAATGTGTATATGTATATAACAATAAAATTTAGTTTGCTTTTAATTTACTGATAACAAAATCAATATTAGTACCAATAAAAACAATATTTAATGATCTAACTACAGTGTTGAATTGGTAACCTTTTAGAATAAGTTTATTTAAAGGATCGATAAAGTTTACCAGGATCGTTTCTAAATTATTGGGCACAGTAAACAATATTGCCGTAAAAATGAGGATGTGCAATCCCATTTGAAATAAGTTTTCTACAGGTACAACCAAACTTCAAAACCAAATCTTTATATCTGTGGAAGAATTTAGTAAAGGTTTTAAGTAATTTGTGGTAACGAAATCCCTGGCTTAATAATTTACCAGTAATACATAGATTACGTTCGTTAAAATCAAAGACATCACAACAGACACTGGCATAGCGAACGAGTTGTGAAATATAAACACTGTAAGATGGTGCCAAAGGAACATCACCATCCAAAGAGGGAATATTAACAATAGGAAACGAAAAATCGTCCCTTTTGTTGTAAATTTTAGTGTGGAGTTTCCCGTGTAAAACTGAAATATCTAAATCTAGGAAAGGACAGTTGTTACTGTTTAAATTTGATTTATTTAAAGTCAGTTCCTTTGGATAAATTTCGGCAGTATATTGAGAAAATTCTTGATTATTTAAAGAAAAAATATCATCAAGATAACGGTAAGTGTTGTTGAATTTATCAATTAAATGCAATTTAGACGGGTCTTTACTGAGTTTGATCATAAACTTACTGTGATTCATAACAGTACAAAAACAAGTCTGCTATTAAAGGGTATCAATTAGTGCCCATAGGAATACCTACAACCTGTCGATAAACTTTGCTGCCGAAACGTACATAAATATTAACAAGGAGAAAATTAACAGCTTCAATCATCTCGCCACACGGTCACACCTCCAGTAAGTATATTTTTTTTTTTTTTTTTTCAGTAGTCAGTCTTCTACAATCCCTGTACATCACCACCTGACTATGGTGTTAAGGGTTTTGATATAGGAAACAAAAAAATTAATAATTGACTACATTTTTTTTTCTACTGTGAATATATATTATATGAATATCAACATTATAATAAAAAGGGGAAAAGAAACCAATCACACACACATACACCCACTCTTGCACTTGCATTAACATAACATATATCAACTTGTGTATTGCAAAGAAAAATGTTATCTTTGTAAAGTATATCTAGCATATTTACCTTTCTCATTAGAGAAGAAGGCTTTAAATGAGTTGCAGCAAATATATTTGTATTCAGATTTACCAAACGACCATTTAATTAAATAGTAAAATTTTTGTTTGATAAGATTGTGTGGAAGTGTAGTGTAAAGAGTAGAAAAGTCAAAACTGTCAACAGAATCAAAAGGACCATCAAAAGCATGTAATTTATCTAAAACATCCGAAGAATTTTTTACACTCCAAAAATAGTTATTTCCACTATTTTCATATATTTTATTACAAAATTTATGATAAGCTCTTTGATAGTAGTTAAGGAACTTGTTAAAAGCACTGAAAGATTAGTTGTAGAACACTTACTAGAGGCCGAGATGAAACGATATTTTACTGGTTTTATGTGTAGTTTAGGTAACCAATACATAGTAGGGACCTTCAAATGTTCAGAAGAAGCCTGTTTAATTTTGAAAATTTATGAATTGTCATTCCACAGTTTTGAGACTTATGGTAATATTCTACATGGCATAGTCTAGATCTAGATTGTTTGGATTAACTCCAAACTTTAAATTGTTGATGGCAAAAGCGAATTTAGATTTTCTTTGGATTTTGAAAAAATTATGGTTTGTTGTTCCATAAAGTTGTAGGACTTTTAACAGTAATCATGGTAATTTTTGACGTAATAGTTATTTACACATGGATATCCTCATACATGTTTTCTTACACAGCAATGCTATTAACTTGTTAGTAAATGCCTCATTTGCTCGTAAGCCATGGAAGACAATCGTCTATGGGAGGCAAAACCCAGACAGCAAAACTGGATCCTGCAGGTAGTAGGTTTCTCGCATGGCTTATCATCAGGCAGAGTAAAAAAAAGCTGATTAGGGAAACCCCTGGCCTTAAATGCCGACCGGCATGAAGAGGATAGGTGAGGTGAGGTGAGATGTTCCCAGTCTATATCTCTTTCTAGCCAATAGAATCATTTCCCTCATCAACAAGCAACCAATGAGACCGATATTTGTTATGTCATAATTTTAAGATGGTGTGAATATCTTATGAAACTAATAGCTTCACATCATGATGCAAAGCAACAAGATAATATGAGGCAGGTGTTACCAAAAACAATCTTTCCTTTGTGATGTCAATCTCCTCAAAGGGTCACTGGAAAATAGAAATGCTGTCACTTAGGTCTTCTTCCAACTGGCAGTAAAACCCTTGCTAAATAGCGTGTTCGTTTGGTGTGTAGGATGTACATGTCAAGGTCAGAATGGGGACATTGAATCTGATGCATGGTGTAAACAGTGTTCCACACTCTTTGCACAATTAGAACCCTTGCAACAAAACTCTGAGGTGGCCTGTTGCAAGGCAAAATTTTGGTCCCTATCCAATATACCCTTATTTTCCAGTGGCAGTTCAAATATCCTCAACTTTTATCCCAGACATCCTCTATTACAGGACCTAGTTATTGTATATATTTATTGGTACTTTTGTTCTTGTCCTGAACATGCATGAAATATTTGCCATTGGATGTTAAGTAACCAACAATCAAATTTTTTCTGGGAACAGGCAACAGTTGGAAGATCGTGTATGAAATAACAAGGTTATCAAATTCTTTGCATAATTTCTGTTGGAAGAGTAAGCTGAAATTAGGAATCCCCCCTCCCTCCCCAACACAACCACCACCACCACCACCAAAGATTTGTTTTCATTTAAACAAATATGATATTTGACCTCTTTCACAGGTAACACCTGCCTCATATTACATATTGGTAATCAGATATATGACATTGCAGCAAATTGTATGCTCATTTATGATGTAATCAGATAAAAAATTGTAGGAAATGATATTCCTCTTTATTTTGGTAAAGGGGGGCCTTGATGGCCAAAGGTCCAAGTAGTCGTACTACTGTATCACTAGCCTGTCAACACGGAGGTTGTGAGTTCGAATCCTGCAAGTGACTCCAATCTTAATTGACTTGGATTGTCAGTTTTCCTACCGAAGGTCGTGGTTCTCTCCAGGTGCTCCGGCTTCCTCCACCAATAAAAACTGAACGCCATGAAATAGCACAATAGTGTTGAAATTGGCGTTAAACTCCAGATAATCAATCAATCAATATTATGGTAAATGAAAAATTATATGAGAAAAACAAGAATAGCTTTCTGTGTGAATGTGAATGTCTGGACACTAAAATTGAAAGATTTTAGATTTATCAATAAGCGTATTGATTTTCATATTGATTAACATATTTTTCTTTTTTCTGATTGTCTTGCTGTTATTGAAGACTTTGTCCTCATATTATCATTGTAAATGCAAATGGATAGGTTTCAATAATTTAAGAGGGGACTTTTCAACAATTTGATCTGATTTCATGCATGGTAAAGATTGATAAATGAAGGAAATCCCATTACCAATGATTACATTTAACATGTTTAATTACTTTTTTGTGTATATACTTTAGACATTGTTAGAGGTCAGATATGATATTTATTTCCAATTTAAATTCATACATGTTTCCTCAACCAAATTTATTTGATAGGAAATGAAATTAGTTTTTAGGGAAAAGTTGTGATTTTTTAAACAAGAATGAGGATACGCTGATGTGTCAATCTTTGTTGTTTTCAAATATGGATCAATTATATTAAATTATGAATAACAATTGAATACAGGCATGACAGGGTTTCCAAAACAGTCATAACATCCAGAGATGACAGCATAAACAAATTATACAACTTTTATAACGAATAACGAGAATTTTATAAGACTGTCATACAAGTGAGAGGTTTAGCTAGCTATAAAACCAGGTTTAATCCACCATTTTCTTTATTAGGAAATGCCTGTTCCAAGTCAGGAATATAACAGTTGTTTTCCATTCGTTTGATGTGTTTGAGCTGTTGATTTTGCCATGTTTGCCATTTGATAAAGTACTTTCTGTTTTGAATTTTCCTTGGAGTTCAGTATTTTTATATGACCGCAAACAAATTTTGGGGTCATATATTGCTATCATGTCGTCGTCGTCGTCCGAAGACAATAACTTAAGTTTTAGTGTTTGGATCTCTTTGAAATTTTACCAAAAGGTTCAATACCACTAAACAAAGATTAGGATTGTTTTTGGGGTGATGGTCCCAACCATTTAGGAATTAGGGGCTAAAAAGGGGCCCAAAACAAGCATTTTTCTAGTTTCAGGACAATAACTTGTGTATAACTATATTGATTGCTCTGAAATTGTACCACAAGGTTCAATACCACAAGTCGAAGGTTGGGATTCATTTTTGGGGGTAATTGTCCAAACTGGTCAGGAATTAGGGGCCAAAAAGGGTCTAAAACAAGCATTTTTCTAGTTTTCAGACAATAACTTGTGTTTAAGTGTATTGATGTCTCTTAAAATGTACCACATTTTACAAAAAGAACATTTTTGGAAAGGGGAGGGGGGACATTTTTTTATCCTCAAGATTTAAGAAATTAACAAGATAATTTCTTCAAATATTTATTTTTGGAAAAAGGAGGGGTGGGGGGGGGGGGGATTTTTTTCTCCAAGATTTAAGAAATTGTCAATTTTCCAAAGAAAAATTGGGGGTAACAATTGCTAATTCTTTGTGTATAGTCTGAAAACAGATTTACTATGTATTGCGCAACAGCACAGTGTATTGCACATAAGCAAGAAATCTTCAATTGAATATAAATTCAAATCATATAACCAATTTTAATTTCTTTGACTACATTTATTCTGTGTCAGAAACCTATAATATGTCAAATATTTAATTACAATCCAAATTCACGCCTGCATCAAGCTTGAATATTGTGTCCATTTTTGCCCCAACTATTCAGGGTTGGACCTCTGCGGTCGTATCCAGCTGCGCTTGGCAAAGCAGTTTATTGTTTTTTATTTTTATTTTTTATAATATTTTTAGCATGAGTTTCACATTTTTGCCACAGAATTTTTCATATAGCTTACAATTTTGATTATTCTTTGCAGATGAGCATAGATGGCCCTCTACAGGGATCTACCAACACATGTCTTTGAGAATGCTGCAGCTATTGGATTAAAAGTATGGATAATGTACTTTTATGTTTTTGATTGTTGAGTGATTAATGAGATATGATATGATATAATACTGACATGACTGATAAATGACACAGGACAAATGAATATATTTTCTACAACACCACCCTGCTGATTATGATATTCATCCACTCACGATAGTTAAAAAATGATTTTTATTTACAATACATGTAGGTTATTAGGATAGATATTCTACTTTACTATTTTAATATTGGTAGATAATAGATATACCCCCTCACAAGCAAAGTTTGGAGGGAAATATAGGAATAACCATGTCTGTCAGTCTGTCCATCATCCTGCTTTGTGTCAGGTGCATAACTTTTGTTCCGTAAAACTTAGGTTGACTAAACTTGGTGTGCAGTTGCATAATGGGCTTGAGGTGTGTCATATACCAAAGTCTTGTCACTCTGAACTTTGACCCCTATGATAGTCAAACCTTGTCTGATTTGTGTCCTGCTTATAATTTTTGTACCATAGACCTTAGGTTGACCAAACTTAGCATGCTGATAAATCATTGGATGAAATGTGTCATATATCAAAGTCAGGTCATTCTGACCTTTGACCCCTATAATAGTTAACATTGTCTGATTAATGTTTGGTGCATAAATTTTGTACTGTAACACTGAGATGGACAAAACTTTGTTCCTGGGAAAGTATAATTCTTTTAGATTGACCAGTCAGTAACTATGTGTCAATCTAACGCAGAGGCAATGATTATATAAAATGAATAGCTGAAAACCCAAAAATTTAAACATCATTGCCTCAATACTAAATTTCACAGTATCAACTAAAATGCATGTACTTGGGGTATTAGTCCCGCTATGCAGACAGTTCTAGTTTGTTGAAAACAGACCAATTTCCATTTGTTTATAGAACTTGAAATATGAGGCCATGTGTTGACAAGAAAGGTCTTTAAATGTAATGTTTATTTTAACAAATTACTTCTCTTACTTGAATGTTTTAGTTTGTTAAAGCCTCCACTGAAATGCTTTATGAGAAAAAGGTAGACATAAAGAAAGGCTCTCTAAACTTGAAACATTTTTCATCTTTGAAATCAGAAATAATGCATGGTACATGTATATGAGGCCTAGTAGGGTCTTTACAGCATTTTTGTCTTTTACATGAAGGAATATTTTCACAAATTGATCTTAAATATACACCGAAAGAAGCGAAAAAATAAACCCAAATTCATTTATTGATGGGGTGTAAACCAGAGTGTTATAACTCCAAGTCACCAACTTGAATTTCAATTATTTAGTGTTTTCCAAGTTAATTACCCTGTGTGTAGTGCACATAGACAAATATTTTGTGTGTTATTAAAATTGCAAATACATGTAGCCAAACATTTAAAAGACATGTACATGGGAAAAAGTATATTGTATCTCTTGTAGCATATACCAAAACTATGGGTAGTAATAATGCTAAATAACTGTATTCTAATTTTTTTCTTCATATTTTTAGAGTAAAAGTGCAGTTGAAAATGATTTTGTTTCTGCATTTCTTCAAAGACATTTGCCAGCTAATCGCTTGCGGAAAGGGGAGGATAAAGAACTCAAATACAAAACTCAGAATTTGGACAAAGTAAAGAAAAAGAAACCAGAAGTTATAAACAAGAAAAGAAGAAAAGGATTAACTTCTAGAGAAAGAAAGAAATTAAAGCTCTTTGATATCAAGAAAGAACACCAAAGGTACAAGAACAACTTGCAACCAAGTTTTGAAAAACTGTTACTAAAAATAGAATTAAGATAAAATATGTTATAGGTCACCATCCACACTTTTATCAAACATGCCCCCCTTTGTTCTAAAAAAAAAATTTGATGGAAAGATAAAAATGGTACACTTATAAAACTCATTTTAGAACATGATGGTTAATAATTATAGACTGCTACAAACTGTATCAAGAACAACTCCAGCATTTGCAAAAAAAAAAAACTAAATACATTGTAACAAGAATTTCAACAAAGAAATTTTGAAAAATCAATTGAAAGACTGCATACAATCTTTAGAGAAATGAACCTTCAAATGACTCTGATATCAATTTATAAATTTTTAAATTTTATCTTGCTTACATTTACTTTTTGTATTGAAGGAAAACTAAAACTAAATGCCAAAAGCCTTGTTTGAGATGTGTTCATTGATTATAGATTTAGATAGGCAGCAGCCTTTATATCTAAAACACAAAATGCTACAAAATTGTCTGATACACATACAAAGATGTTGATGAGAGAAAAAATAAGTTATTTGGGCTTTTGTTTACATTTAATTCTACAAGAAACTACATTGTATGTTAAATTGCCAATTTTATGTCAAATACAGTTTAACCTGCCCTAATGGTCACCTTATAATTAAATCAGTGATCACCTTCAATTTAACACTCAAGATGAATGCTGTCCAATTTTCTCTTATTTTTTAAACACTTTAGATCTGTTTTTTAGCTTATATGGCCCTTTATTTTTTAACTGTCGTCATCTCATGGCGTCCTTTGTCATCCATAGTCAGTGTATCATATGTTTTTTTTTTTAAAGATCTTCTCTGAAATTACCCAACCAATTTACTGGTAAAACAAATTTCACATGATTCACCCCTAAAATGGGTAGACTATATTTTGAAAATGATATTTTGGTCCACCAACCAACATTGTTACAACAGCTAAAAGTAGAACAAAGAGAGTAAAGCGCAAGTACTTGTCTTATATCTTTAAAACCTTGAACAGGTAAAGATGTTTAGAATTTAGAATTTTGAGAATAATGTAAGCAAGCGTAGATGATTTATATGATAAGTTTCAAAGGGGCAGATAAGTTTTATCCTTATTTGAATCATTATCAGATTCTCAATTGTCAGACAGATGAAATGCTGAAAGTGTTGGTTAACTTTCAAAACCTATCAAATTTGCAAAATTAAGGATGTTTGCTACTGTCGTGACTGTTGTTTTTTACTTTTGTTAGATATTCAGAATACTCTTGTTTTATCCATGTACAGTCAGGGGCGTTACTTAAACAAGTTATTTTTTTAAGTTACTTATATAAGTAATTTTTGTTTTTAAAAATAATAAAATTACTTAATAGAGTTATTTTAAATTTCAATAGAAGCATAGACTAAATGTAGTTTTCATGAATTTTTACATCATTTTATATCATAAAATAAAGAATTTATTAGATTTGAGAGGAGTATAGAGATAAAGGGTTACTTTAAATATAATGACAAAAATATTACTTGAATAAGTTATTTTATACATTTTTGAAAAAAATAGTAATAACACTTATTGAAGGAACATATGTAATTGATTTTGGTTACAAGTTATAAATAACTTCAAGTCTTAATTAATTCACAAGTATCTATCTATTTATATCAGTCTACCTTCAAGATTTTGGAGGAAAATGATAATTTAATAGTCCCATGAGACCAATCTTTGACACAGAAGCGTCAGTATGAAAGATAAGTGCGTCAGAAAGTTAATTAGTGTTTCAGAAGGATTAGATTTTATATTTCATGGGAAAAATAACCAGATGACTGTGAAAATTTGTTAAAGCTACTAAAATCTGTATAATTGGACACCTATAAAAATAATATTCAGAAAAGTTACTTATATAAGTAATATTTAAAATAGCCTCGTTTTCAACATTACTTGTATAGGTAATTTTAATTGTTACTTATTTAAGTAATGCCCCTGACTGATGTAGTGCCAATAAAAATTTTGCCTGCTAACACCTACCTTTCTATTCATAATTTTATTACAAAACAAATTAAATTAGTAATTTTTTCATAGTTTTTGAAAGAAATAAAGTGCAACTTGTTCACTGTTAAATTCATGAAAAATCTAGAGAGAATAATTTCCCTCCAAATTTTCAATTGATTTTTATCTCAAAAACAAGAACAAGGACTGGTCATTTTTTTCTACTTTTTAATTTCAGTTATTTATAAACTATCAACTTATAACAGTCTTTTAAAAAGCTTGTTATTTTGAAACAGCAGAGCGAACATCCTTAAATGCTTAATTTATATAATTCAAGAAAACATTCCCTGTAGTTACTTTTTGTTTATAATATTTCTTTTTTACAAGTTATATAGTCCTGAAATTACAGTAAATACAATGAAATGACAGAATTATTGAAAATCTTCATCAACTCACACATGCTATAAAATGATAATGGACACAGCTCTAGCCTAAAAACATATCTTAGAGGAGGTATTGTAATATTTATTTAGGAAGGATCTTTTGAGAAATTCCTAAAATTATGCTAATATCGGCAAATCTCCACAAATCCTTCATATTATGCCCTGAACAGCTTACAATGTATGTTTATATGTTCTGGAAGTCTATGTTTAAATATTTAAAGCAATACCTCCTCCTTTTTGTACAATGTATTTTTATTGTACATATGTATATATATTTACCAGGTTTTATCTTTTATTTTATTTTTACAGTTATGAAAAATATATTCCAATGCACAAAATATGGAGAGATTACATACATGATGTCTTAAATATTAAAAGGTATGTAAAAATCCTGGAATAAAGTTGCAGATGAATAAAGTGGATCTCTACTCTAATAAGGTCTACTCCATTTGTTGTAAACTATTTAACTACAAGTTCTCTAAAAGTTAACTTTTTGATATACACTGTCCTATTGATTGTTATGAAACTGTGACTGGTAGTTTATTGACTTCAGCTATATGATGGCTGAATGGTAAACATAGTATACATGTACAGGTACTTCATCTAGTCTCTGCTGTGTTGGAGGTACCTTGTCTGGGTCACTTTCAAGAAAGACAAGATGCATTTGATGTACTGAGTGTGATATAGAGTGATAGTTATTTTTGATTAGTTTACTTTTAGAAATTCAGTTTTCTCCACAAGAAAGAAAGTAACTGCTGCTTTAGAGGCAGAAAATGTAAAATTTGAAATTAGGAGATGTATGATTGCCAATGAGACAACTATCCACCAAAGTTCAAACGAAGTGGATGTAAGCAATTATAGGCCACGTACAGCCTTCAACAATAAGAAAAAACCCATACTGTACAGTCGGCTATAAAAGGCCGAGAATGTAGAGAAAGTGACATTAAACCTCATACAACCAATTAAACAATAAGCACATTTCAGTAATTAGTCATCTTTTTGAAGTTTTTTCTGTGATTTGCCAAACAGTCAATTCAACAAAAGTGTTAAAAAGACAGGGGGCAATAGCGGCCATATTTAGAAGAACTTTTCATTAAAATTATTCCATTTGTATAAACAGAAATAGATGTTTGGTAAATATTATTAATATTACTAAAAATCAATAGATATCTAACGGTCAACATACACTCTTCATTATATAGTTGTCTTTACTGTATGCCAAGGTCAAAATGTTAGTGGGCCTATTTTAAAGTTAAGTTTATAAACCACTAAAACATGTAGCTTAGAATCCAATATGTTACAATAAAAGTAGTTATGAGGTCATAGAATGGCCGTTTATGGTCATTATAAATTCAAAGAACTTGCTCAATGTTTGTTTGTATAAATCACATTTCTTTTATAAATATTTACTTGTATGTACTTACATGACTTACATGCAAATGAAATTTTTCAATAACAAATATGTAACTGCATTTTAGACATTTCCAGAAAAAAATTGTACAATTTCTTCAATTCTTGGCACATATATTGATAATTCATGTACCATATTAAAGGACCATACAGTTTAAACATTTCATAAACTTATCATTTATAATATTTATTATAAATCACATTTTTTTTTATTCAAAAATATTTTATTCCAAGTGGCGTTCTTTAGGGCTATTCCATTAAAATGTATGTGGGAGAGTAGGAAGGGAAGTTTAATTATTGAATGTGGGTCATGGGTCTTTTAATATGCCCGTTTACTGGACGTATTATGGTATACCGTTGTCCGTCCATCTGTCCGACCTTCCGTCGTCAACATGTCGGACATTAACTCAAAAACGCTTTAACCAATTTGCATAAAACTTTGGTGAATTGTTTATATCTATTGACGTGAGCTCCCTTTAGTTTTTTATAAATTTTAGATTTTACAATTCCGAGTTATGGGGTTTTATTCATTAAAAAAAGGGGGATTTTCCAGTTTTCGGACAATAACTCAAGAATGCTTTCACCAACTTGCAAGAAATTGTGGTGAATTGTTTATATCTATTGACATGAGCTCCCTTTTGGATTTTTATATATTTTAGATTTTACGTTTCCAAGTTACAGGGTTTTATTCATAAAAAAAGGGGAATTTTCCAGTTTTCGGACAAAAAATTAAAAATGCTTTCAGCAGTTCTTATGAAACTTTGGTGAATTGTTTATATCTATTGATGTAAGCTCTGTTTAGATATTTATAAATTTTTAATTTATCATTTCTGAGTTATGGGGTTTTATTCATTAAAAAAGGGGGGATTTTCCAGTTTTCGGACAAAAACTTCAGCAGCTCTTGTATTGATATTTTGAAAGTCCCTTCCTACCCTCCCACATACATTTTAATGGAATAGCCCTTAGGGTGCATCCTCCTTAAAGTCCATTTTAAATTGGTGTTATTATTTTTATTTTTTTTTATAAAATTGCTTGGAATTGTAAAGAAATATTTGAAAAACGTTAACATACTATACATATAAATATATATAAAATTGAAAGAAAAAAAATCCAAGGATAGGAGGAGAAAAGAATCATAATATAGATTTATTTTGCCAAATAAATCATGAAAATAAGTATGTCCAGATAAAAATCAGTGCTTTGAAAATTAAAAATTGAACACTTGACTATTCTAGTTTAAAAAAAAGGGAAGTTAATAAAATGCTGACCTTTTATAAAAAGTGGATCATACTGAGGAAGTTGAACATTGATTTTGTTAGTCTTAATCATGATTCTTTACTTATATTTTAGTGTAAATAAGGATAATATACATGCTGCACAAGAAAGATTATTGAAGGCAGATTTCCATGGTAGCTGTTTGACAGTTCAAAGGTCGAAATGCCCTTCTTATGTGGGTGTTAATGGCATAGTGCTTCAGGAAACTAGAAACACATTTAAAATAATTACACAAGAGGATCAAGTTAAGTGTAAGTACTGTTAACAGTTGTGTATTCTTCCTTTATTTATTGTCCCGCATGTGGCAGGTGTGTTCAACTCCAATCTTAATTGACAAGGATTGCCAGTTTTATAGCCAAAGGTCGTTGGTTCTCTCCTGGCACTCTGGCTTACTCAACCAATGAAAACTGGCCACCACAAAATAGTCAACAGTGCTGAAAAAGAGGGGCGAAAGATACCAAAGGGATATTCAAACTCATAAGTTGAAAATAAACTGACAACGCCATGGCTAAAAAAGAAAAAGTCAAAAAGACGAACAATAGTACACAAAACACAACATAGAAAACTGAAGACTGAGCAACACCAACCCCACCAAAAATGGGGGGTGATTTCAGGTGCTCCGGAAGGGTAATCAGATCCTGCTTCACATGTGGCACCCATCGTGTTGCTCATGTTAGTACAAACCCAGTAATAAGTCTAATTCAGTAGGTCACATTTGGGAAATGGGGATGGGATTGTAGTTACGACATAAGGAACATATCCGCTATCATCTGTGAAACCTTTATTCCGTAACGGTCAACCAACTCATGATGGTGTCCATAAAATTTACGAAGGGATGATTTTAACTTCACCACTTGGAACTCTTGGTTTAATAGCTTCCTTGTGAGCAGCAACCCTCTATCAAGGAAAAGTGTCGTCAAATGCCACTAAATCAATCAATATGTTTATTGTCTATATCTTATTTATGTTTGGATAAGTTACCTAAACTTGAATATTTTATTGATTAATCTTTTTTTTTTGGGGGGGGGGGGGGGGGGGGGGGTCATTTCCAGTAAATATTTCATGCATTCTCAGGACAATGAATTTGATATAGTCATGCATGGCCAAAAAGATGAATAAAAGAAGATATGGAGTACATGTCAATGAGAAAACCTAATAACAAAACCAAACCGTAAAACCAAGAAAAGATATCTATAGGTCAAGATACAGTCAAAAATAACTGACAATATCCTATTTCAAGCTCTAAATCCACTTCAGTCAAGACAGCTGTAAACGATCTCAACACAGGCATCAAAAGGATTTGCCATTTACAACAAAAACCTTTATGGGCAAAACACATCATTGATGACACAAACATCTACATGAAACAGTATACAAATAGCATATAAAATACTAGCTTTCACTGAAAGCAGGCAAGCACCTTCTACAACATGTATTTCAAATTTTTCCTATATTGGTGGGATTGGACTGTTAAATGAGTCAGATATTTAGGATGTTACATGTGTAAGCTTAATCCTTCATTATTGGATACTGACCTTTATATCGTTGTAACCGTGCCATTGGTATAACCTTGATGTCATTTAGTGCTAATGTTTGACCAAACACATGCATAGTATAAAAAATCATGTTTTATATTTCAGGTATTCCAAAAATAAACTCTGTATTTGTATTTGAAATTGGTGGATACGTTTTCACCCTTCATGGAAATCAGTTTTGTGTGAGGTCAGCAGAGAGGTGTACAAGGAAATTTAAATTAAAAGGAACTATTGAGATTTAGTATTTTACTGGCATGAAATTAAAATAACATTTATAATTCTTCTATAGTCTTTCATTTCCTCTGCATCAAGCAATCCCAAAAGGAGACCGTGGTGAAGAGCAAATGTTACGCTCAGATTTGACCATCAATAATTTTGTTTTACAATTGCAGTCATAGTAGAATATCCAAATTTTAAATAAAGAAACCACAGAATTCTAAGGTGTATGAAAAACTATTAATTTTTAAAAATTCTTTATGAAAATTGCATTTATCATTATCAACATACCCTAATTTTTCAGTGGCAGTCCAAATTCCCAATCCCTAAAATTAATACATAAATTATGGCACAAAAGATTGAAATGTTTATTATGCATAACATTTTTTCAGTGTTTGTGGTTTTACCCTCATACTATAAAAGTTTAGTACAAGAAAGTTCAAGACAAGCAATTGCAGACTCATTTTTGCTTTTCAGAGACAAAATGTAGTTATATATCAGCTGTAACTTTGGTGCCCATCAAATATTTTATATGTTATTCTTTTGATAAGTAAAAATTACTTGCTGAAGATGTAACTAATTTGAATACATTAGCAAAGTTCTAACAAGCAATTTGCCTTAAACTCCATAAGCATTTTGAGAGGTTTTCCCTCTCAAGTCCATGAAAATATGTAAAATATCTGCTAGAATTTACCTGTGTTTAAAGCTGTTTTTGGCTTAGATTGAGAATTTTCATATTTTATGTGTGAATTCACTGTTCAACCAATGTTATTCTGCTATATGGACCTGATTGTAATTTTTGGCTCACCTGGCCCAAAGGGTCAAGAGAGCATTTCTCATCACTTGGCATCCTGCGTCCATTGTTCCTCATCTGGGGTCGTCATTGTTCGTTGACTTTTACAAAAGTCTTCCCCTTCGAAAGTACTGGGCCAAATTTAACAAAACTTAGCTACAATCATGATTAGGCAGTGGCGTAGCAACCTAAGGCTCGACTAGGCACGTGCCTATACATAAATTTGCCAATGAAAGGTTCCCGATCTAACACTTTAACATTCTACACAGAAGACAGGCAGTAGGTTTTAAATATGATGAGCATTTTTTTCTACACAATGTAAGTATTAATCATATTTCATTAAACTGGTCAAAGAATCTGACCTGCACACAGAATTTGAATATGCGTCGATTAATACACACATTTTTTTCTTAATTGATGTGCTGCTAAATTCTTGTTATTTTCTTTAGAAATCTGTCTAGTTGCACATCTTTCTCAAACAACCATTATCATGATAACAAAATAAAATTTGAAGAATGCCTAGGGCCTTTTACGTAAAAGTTTCTAGCGGTCACAGGTATAATATTTATATATACTAAAAGAGTGATCTACAAATTGTCGTGTGAATCCAATAATGATGTATTTCCCATTTGGTAATAGTGGTAAAAATTTAAGTTGAAGTTTAAAAGCTCAATATAATAAATATTTGACTGAGACATAAAAAGTTATATAGGAATCGAATTTATATACATGCAGAGTAACTCTTTGTTTGATTTTTTTTTTTTAATAGACAAGCAACTTAGATAAATAAAGCATCCCCTTTTTAGCTCACCTGGCCAAAAGGGCCAAGTGAGTTTTTCTCATCACTTGGCATCCGTCGTCCGTAAACTTTTACAAAAATCTTCTCCTCTGAAACTACTGGGCCAAATTTGACCAAACTTGGCCACAATCATCATTGGGGTATCTAGTTGACTCGGCCAACCAACCAAGATGGCCACCATGGCTAAAAATAGAACATAGGGGTAAAATGTAGATTTTGGCTTATATCTCTGAAACCAAAGCATTTAGAGCAAATCTGACAGGGGTAAAATTGTTTATCATGTCAAGATCTATCTGTCCTGAAATTTTCAGATGAATCTGACAACTCGTTGTTGGGTTGCTGCCCCTGAATTGGTAATTCTAAGGAAATTTTGCCGTTTTTGGTTATTATCTTGAATATTATTATAGATAGAGATAAACTGTAAACTGCAATAATGTTCAGCAAAGTAAGATCTACAAATAAGTCAACTTGACCAAAATGGTCAGTTGACCCCTTAAGGAGTTATTGCCCTTTATAGTAAATTTTTAACCATTTTTCGTAAATTTTTGTAATCTTTTACAAAAATCTTCTCCTCTAAAACTCCTAAGACAAATTTAACCAAACTTGTCCACAATCATCATTAGGGTATTTAGTTTAAAAAATGTGTCCGATGACCCCGCCCCCGAACCAAGATGGCCGACATGGCTAAAAAATAGTACATAGGGTAAAATGCAGTTTTTGGCTCATATCTCTGAAACCAAAGTATTTAGAGCAAATCTGACAGGATAAAATTGTTCATTAGGTCAAGATCTATCTACCCTGAAATTTTCAGACCAATCAGGCAACACGTTGTTGGGTTGCTGCCCCTGAATTGGTAATTTTAAGAAAATTTTGCAGCTTTTGGTTATTATCTTGAATATTATTATAGATAGAGATAAACTGTAAACAGCAATAATGTACAGCAAAGTAAGATCTACTAATAAGTCAACATGACCAAAATTGTCAATTGACCCCTTAAGGAGTTATTGCCCTTTATAGTCAATTTTTTACAATTTTCATAAATTTTGTAAATTTTTACAAAATATTTTCCACTGTAACTACTGGGCCAAGTTCATTATAGATAGAGATAAGTGTAAGCAGCAAGAATGTTCAGTAAAGTAAGATCTACAAACACATCACCATCACCAATACACAATTTTGTCATGAATCCATCTGTGTCCTTTGTTTAATATGCACATAGACCAAGGTGAGCGACACAGGCTCTTTAGAGCCTCTAGTTTGGAGATAGAACATTTCACTACAAAAAATGTAGTTTTAAAAATTTATCCCTATATTTCCATTTGAGATATAACATGGATTTTTTAACTTTGTGATATCCTGTGCTGCTGGATTTGCTAAGAATTGCTCATGGATTGATTTCAAATCATGCAAACCATTTATATTCATAGTACTACTAAGATAATTTTGATAACAATTATTTAACAGCAAAAATACATGAGAAATAGTGGAGGTATGCCTTCTGAGTGTCAAACTTTCAATTTGGGTATATATGTTTTTCCCAAGAAAATGGTAATTGCTCAGGGTAAATGCATTTTTTACAAAAGGTCATGTTGGAAACCCGTATGCAAAAACGTAGTTGCATACACATCGACAATTTTTTTCTGCATAAATGGTCCAAAATATTTTCGCCTCGCTCCGATCGGCGTAGACAATTGTGCCTTCACTGAAATACTAGTCTAGCTACGCCCCTGTTAGGGTATCTAGTTTAATAAATGTGTATGATGACCCTGCCTGCCAACCAAGAGGGCTGAAATGGCTAAAAATAGAACATAGGGGTAAAATGCAAGTTTTGTCTATTATTTTGAAAACCACTATGATTAAAGAAAACTGACAGAGATAAAAAAAAAAAAAAAGTTCAGAATGTTGAGCTCTATCTATTGTCCCTTGCCGTCAAAATTGTCAGACGGCTTCTTGCAGGAGTTATTGCCCTTAAATGAAGATTTGAATGGTTTTTTTTTTTAATTTTTAACCGGATTTACGAAGGAAAGATCAGTTATTGATTGGGGGATGTTTTAGGCTGGCGGGCGGGCATCCGGACGATAGGGCGGCTGCCAAACAGTGTCCGATCATGAACATGAAAACGCTTTGATGGCATATTTCAAATTTAGATATGTTGTTTCCTGTGACTAAACGAAGGTCAAGTTCGATTATCACGATTTTAGCTTTTCTCGTTGTTGAATTGTAGACCTTTCAGTTGGGAAAAGTGATACTTAGAGCGTTGTCTGTGCAATAACTTGATAACCCTTTGACAAAATCTTTTCAAATTTAGATATGTTGTTTACTGTGACTAAATGAAGGTCAAGGTCGATTTTCACGTTTTAGCTTTTATCGTTAATAGTTTGAAAACCTTTCAATAGCAAAAAGTGATACTTACACTGTGGTCTGTGCAATAACTTGATAACGCTTTGATGACATCTTTTCAAATTTAGATATGTTTTTTCCTGTGACTAAATGAAGGTCAAGTTCGATTTTCACGATTTTAGCTTTTTTCGTTGTTGAGTTGTAGACCTTTCAGTAGCGAAAAGTGATACTTAGAGCGTTGTCGAAATCTTTTCAAATATATAGATATGCTGTTTCCTGTGACTAAATGAAGGTCAAGTTCGATTTTCAAGATTTTATTTTTTATCGTTGTTGAGGTATAGACCTTAATGGAGCGAAAAGTCATACTTAATTTATACAACAGAAAATGATTTTTTCCAGTTTATATGATTTATTTTTATTTTAAGTTATTTCCCTTTGAACAGAAATGGTGTAATTAATAAGTATATGGATGGAAAGTCTATCATTGATTGTATCTGATCAATTGATTTTAGTCAGAAGTTGTCAACAAGTTCTTTATAACAATTTTTTTTAAGTCATGTGTGTTTTAAAGGTAGATGTCACAGTTGCTGTGTATTTTATTTGTGTTGTGTGTGTTAATGCCGTTTAATTTTTACTTGATATAGATTTGCAAATATCATTTTCATACAGGAAAATCCGGTTTGTTGTCACTCTGACAGCCTCTTGTTGCTTATTATCTTGAAAACTATAATAAGTAGAGAGAAACTTTGGATAGCAAAAATGATTAGCAAGATAAAGTTTTAATATTTCAACAAAGTCGAAATCTTCAGACCACTCCTTATTAGAAAAAAGTAAAATAACAAAAATACTGAACTTTGAGGAAAATTCAAATAGGAAAGTCCCTTATTAAATGGGAAAAACAAAATCTCAAACAACTCAAACGAATGGAAAACAACTGTCATATTCCTGTCTTTGTAATGCATTACCTTATGTAGAAAATGGTGGATTAAACCTGGTTTTATAGCTAGCTTAACCTCTCACTTGTATGATGATGATGTTGGATGGCTGCTTAACGTCCAGTGGCAAATTAATATTAATATTCAGGACGAGAACATGTTAATGTAATATGAATATTTACCCTGCTTTGTACTAGACC